TGGATGACAGATGCTGCTGTAGTGGATGTCAGATGCTGCTGTAGTGGATGACAGATGCTGCTGTAGTGAATACAAATGCTGCTGTAGTGGATGACATATGCTGTAGTGGATGACAGATGCTGCTATAGTGGATGACAGATGCTGTAGTGGATGACAGATGCTGCTGTAGTGGATGACAGATGGTGCTGTAGTGGATGACAGCTGCTGTAGTGGATGACAGCTGCTGTAGTGGATGACAGATGCTGTAGTGGATGACATATACTGCTGTAGTGGATGGCATATGCTGTAGTGGATGACAGATGCTGTAGTGGATGACAGATGCTGTAGTGGATGACAGATGCTGTAGTGGATGACAGATGCTGTAGTGGATGACAGATGCTGTAGTGGATGACATATACTGCTGTAGTGGATGACAGATGCTGCTGTAGTGGATGACAGATGCTGCTGTAGTGGATGACAGATGCTGCTATAGTGGATGACAGATGCTGTAGTGGATGACAGATGCTGCTGTAGTGGATGACAGATGCTGCTGTAGTGGATGACAGATGCTGTAGTGGATGACAGATGCTGTAGTGGATGACAGATGCTGTAGTGGATGACAGATGCTGTAGTGGATGACAGATGGTGCTGTAGTGGATGACAGATGATGCAGTAGCGGATGACATATGCTGCTGTAGTGGATGACAGATGCTGCTGTAGTGGATGACAGATGCTGTAGTGGATGACATATGCTGCTGTAGTGGATGACAGATGCTGCTGTAGTGGATGACAGATGGTGTAGTGGATGACAGATGCTGCTATAGTGGATGACAGATGCTGCTGTAGTGGATGACAGATGCTGCTGTAGTGGATGACAGATGCTGTAGTGAATACAAATGCTGCTGTAGTGGATGACATATGCTGTAGTGGATGACAGATGCTGCTATAGTGGATGACAGATGCTGCTGTAGTGGATGACAGATGCTGTAGTGGATGACAGATGCTGCTGTAGTGGATGACAGATGCTGCTGTAGTGGATGACATATGCTGTAGTGGATGACATATGCTGTAGTGGATGACAGATGCTGCTGTAGTGGATGACAGATGCTGCTGTAGTGGATGACAGATGCTGTAGTGGATGACATATGCTGCTGTAGGGTTGACAGATGCTGCTGTAGTGGATGACAGATGGTGCTGTAGTGGGTGACAGATGGTGTAGTGGATGACAGATGCTGCTGTAGGGATGACAGATGCTGCTGTAGTGGATGACAGAAGCTGCTGTAGTGGATGACAGATGGTGCTGTAGTGGGTGACAGATGGTGTAGTGGATGACAGATGCTGCTGTAGTGGATGACAGATGGTGCTGTAGGGTTGACAGATGCTGCTGTAGTGGATGACAGATGGTGCTGTAGTGGGTGACATTTGCTGTAGGTGTTTGTGGCGGTGGTTTGTATCTAGAGCCCAGAAGCAACCATCATGACACCTATACCTCAAGACTTGTAGGTAGAACAAAACGCATGACACGATTTACCTATTCGAACAAATTAGTGTACAGTTTCCTTATCAGGGCCTTTACAAGACATATTACGTAATATCCACCTCCCTCCCCCCCCCCCCCCCCCCCCAAATACTTTAACAATGAACCATAAAGTTTAAGAATAAATACATTGTTATCAATAAAACACCTGAATAAGTCCGTGTACAGCCGTCTTACTCTCTCTGTCTGCTCATAAAACACCCGATAAAGTTTTTTTACAGCCTGCATTAGAAAAGGTTTGATCATACATTCATACTAAACAAATATTATCAGTACAATCGTACACAGCGTGAATTAAAATGCATAACTAGTCAACAGGGGAGGTGCGGTGGTCGAGGAGTAGAGCACATGAGCCTACCACAGCTAATATAACGTCTCGAGTTCAAAACTTGGCTCTGGTTGGTTGAACTCAGCTCCAGTACGTACACAACATCACCGCATACCTCAGCTCCATCATGTACACAACATCACCGCATACCTCAGCTCCATTACGTACACAACATCACCGCATACCTCAGCTCCATTACGTACACAACATCACCGCATACCTCAACTCCATTACGTACACAACATCACCGCATACCTCAGCTCCATTACGTACACAACATCACCGAATGGCTCAGCTCCATTACGTACACAACATCACCGCATACCTCAGCTCCATTACGTACACAACATCACCGAATGGCTCAGCTCCATTACGTACACAACATCACCGAATGGCTCAGCTCCATTACGTACACAACCTCACCGAATGGCTCAGCTCCATTACGTACACAACATCACCGAATGGCTCAGCTCCATTACGTACACAACATCACCGCATACCTCAGCTCCATTACGTACACAACATCACCGCATACCTCAGCTCCATTACGTACACAACATCACCGCATACCTCAGCTCCATTACACAACATCACCGCATACCTCAGCTCCATTACGTACACCACATCACCACATGGCATTACATAATCCCACATTTCCTGGTGACGCCAATGTCCAACAGATAATCTTAAGTCTACAGAATTAAGACAGTAGTATCCAGTAGACGTTATCATCAGCTTCAGATAACATGACATTCGTTAGAAGAGTTCTTTTTATTACAAAACCATGTACAAAACCATTTTAAACCGGACGAAGTATTTCAGATTTAAATGGTCATGTGAATGCACCTATGTATCTGCGAAATAAAATTAATTCTCAATTTAATTTGGTTGTAAATTAGCCATTAAAATAGTTGTAAATGTGAATAAGCACTTTGACATACTGAGGGATAAATTGGTGAACGTGGTCTATCGAGTAAATGGCTGATCTAGTTTTCATGATTATGTCTACTAATTTTATTGTGCTCTATAACTCCATTTTAATTATTTTTTTGCCTCAGACTTGTAATTTAGAACATCAGTTTGCCTTGTCATGTTCGTTTTAGTATTACAGTTTTCATCATCGGCTTGTGAGAACTGATACAGATTTAATTCTAACTGCAATTTTATATTTAAAACTGAAAATGCAAATGTCTAATCAAATAGTGATTCAATGTTCTGTTTGCCTTGCCATGTTCGCTTTAGTATTACAGTTTTCATCATTGGCTAATGAGGACTGATACAGATTTACAATTTTTTTTCTGACATGTGCTTTTATTCACCTAAGAAAGAGTAATACATAATACAATACGTCTAATTGCAATTTTAAATATAGGCCTATAACTAAAGTGCAAAGGTGTAACCAAATAATGATTATATTTTCTGTTTTTTGTTCTAAAAAGAAAAGTAATGGAACAAGTATTATGGTATGAACAAGGAGTAGGTTGGGGGAATATTGACTTATTATTACAATCTCCTTTTTCTTTTTTTTTTCTGGATCAAAGTGCTTTATTAAGGTTGATAGTATTTATACGGTTCCATGACAAATGATCTCAGGACAAATGATCTCAGACAAAATATCTCAGACAAAATATCTCACGGACAAATGATCTCAGGACAAATGATCTCAGGACAAATGATCTCAAGGACAAATGATCTCAAGGACAAAAGATACCAGGACAAAATATATCAGGACAAATGATATCATGGACAATTGATCTCAGACAAAATATCTCAGACAAAATATCTCACAGCAAAATGTTGATAGTATGTACAATGATTTTAGTTCATTTGAACTTTTTTAAAAATTGACTGCCGAGATGGTTTTGTTTACTTTCTTTACGCATCATAATTGAGAATAAAGTGAATTTGTTAAACTTTACAAAGCATCAAAAGATTTATTTAACTTAATCTTTGTAATGGCCTTTGATTTGAAAAAATCAAAATTAAAACAAACTTTCTCCTTTAGCCTGAAAGGTATGATAAATGATAATGTATGAAACAAAGTAACGGTAGCTATACAACAATAATGTTTAAAACATGCGAAATATCTTTAAAAAATGTTAATGGGTCTTCAGGTTCGTAACGTAAAATTATTGTTTTTATTGCATGATCAACACAAACATAACGTTTACGTTTCTTTGCTGACAGTACATCGTTATGATCACACCTCTCCAATACTATGTCATCATGTATTGTATTGTGTGAACTCTTGCTCGACATGTTCTAACTCCGCGATGACCACTGTTTGTCTTAAATAAGCATTAGTCACCTGATCACTAAGGTGTGACAGACGCATAACTATTGAATTTAGCTATTAGTTGTATTGTTCGTGGAGGGCGGATGTCTTTCCCTTAAGGTATGTCTCTACCATCAAAGCGGGCTGCCACCTTGTACGAAGGTGTGTCTTTATTGTTATTTCATCCTCTTTGATCTAGTTTCGTCCACCTGACATGGTTGGATTGTCTCATGTTTGGCAAGCCCGCCTACGCTGTCTATCGAACAATTTCTTTAATCTTCTATAGTAATAATCCTAATTTTAAAATGCAATATACAATTTTAAAAGTGCAATATGATAAATTTATACGGCAAACATTTCTTACAATTATCATATGGGCCTATAAACAATATTAAACATATTAAACAAAACCATACGACAGTTAATAAAAATTGTTCAGATCACTAAAGTCACCCAATACTCTATTATAATTTAGGTGTGAGATATTTTGTCTGAGATATTTTGTCTGAGATCAATTGTCCGTGGTATCATTTGTCCTGATATATTTTGTCCTGGTATCTTTTGTCCGTGAGATCATTTGTCCTTGAGATCATTTGTCCTGAGATCATTTGTCCTGAGATCATTTGTCCGTGAGATATTTTGTCTGAGATATTTTGTCTGAGATCATTTGTCCTGAGATCATTTGTCCTGTCACCATTTATACTAAACAAGTACAAAAAAATGATGAACCTTAGCACAGTGATTTAGATCCTAGTAAGTAGTAAAACGAAAACTGTGCATATGTGAATAAGTCTAAGTAAATCAGAAAAACTTTCCAATAACCTTTTGTTTTACAAGAAATTATAAAGCAGGAAAGAACTATCATTCTGAAGTTATCTTTTAATAAATTAGCAAAATAATCTACAGTTTTGTTTGTTATTTATTCTTGTTTCAATTCCTACCATTTAAATATATTAATAGTCAGGTAATATGACAATTCACTAATTCCTTAACAGTATTTTAGTAAGTAAATATATTTAACATAAACATGAGAATTTCCAGTTTGTTAATAGCACTTAAACAACATTCTATGTTTTACATACTCAAGTTTTAGGAAGATCCAAATTTTCACTCTTTACTTCTTTCAATTTTGAGTCATTTTGTCCCAATTTTAGTGAGTCTCTCAGCATGTCACCTGGTAACCGAAAACTCAAAGGATTTTTCTCAGCTGCAGCTATTTGTTGCTTATACAGCTTCCCAAATTTGCGATTTTTCTCAAACATTTCTTTGGGTATGTGCAAGTGAAAAATTCTAAAATATTTAAGCACATTTTCTACCTGAGTTTGATCTAGTTTCATTTCCTGGGCAATTTTCTCTGCTGTAACTTCTTTCGGATTCAACTGGTGGCTATTCAAAAAGCTTAAGACATTCTTGAGATTAACTCTGCCTTTACGAACAACATACTTAGTTTCCATGGCACCAAGCTCTGTCTCTTCTGCCATACCTCTTTGTTGTGGTAAGGGTTTATCAGCTGAAATCTGAGGAAGTGCCATTTTAGACTGCACATATATTTGTTTGAGATTTTCATTCATTTTTTCATGTTTAATAAATTGTGCTTCGAGGTATTCAGGGTGTTCTTCTGTTAAACGAGACAATACTTTCACTGTTGTTGGGTGTTTTGGGGCAGGATCAGCAGAGGAGTAGCGAGGGGGGGGGGGGGGGGGGGGCGGGTGGGGGGACATATGTCCCCTGGCGCCGACCTTAGGGGGGCGCCAAATTGAAAGTTTGAGGGGGGGGGTGCAAATGAAAAGTTCGAGGGGGGGGGGGGCGCAAATCGAAAGTTTGTCCCCGGGCGCCGGGAGGGGTCGCTGCGCCTCTGAGGATCAGCAACTCTCGGGTGTTTTTCGATGAGCTTTTCTGTGCGACTTTCAATGTTAAATTTTCTCAAAGTTCGCGTTATTTTAGAACCTACAACGCCCATTTAATATAAAATAATTTTTCCCCTAGAAATTATCTGAAATGTCTTGATCTAGTCTATATACTCTTGCAGTGAACACATTCTGACATTTAAGTAAAAATGTCAAATAGTACAAAGACAATCTCATTAAACTCAGAAATTTAAATATCCTTTTTTTTTTTTTTTTTTTTTTTCTTTAATACTTTTATTTGCAATTAAAACAAGTACATCAACATCAAATTTTTTAACATAATTTTCAAAATTATGTTAAGAAATTTAAATATTTTATTTTTTTTTTTTTTTTTTTTTTTTTTTTTTTTTTACAAGAAATTTAAATATCCTTGAGAGATCACGAATACTGAGAGGTCATGAGAGCAACTTTAAAAAAAAAACGGCCAAACTTTAAACGTTGTACCTTTATAGGTAAATAAAGCAGACGTTAATTTTAATATTGTTACTATATTTATAAGTTTGTTATTTTATTAAATTTTGTTTTTAACATCAGTTTGAAAACATTATAACGTTCTAAATGCTGAAGTAAATTGATCTATTTAAAAGAAAAGAAAGTAGTTTAGACTAATTTAATGCATTTTTGTTTGAAGTCTTCCTTTTGAGTTCAGTTATTTCCCCTAGTCAACAAATCACAACTTACGCATCTAACCACCATTACGTACTAAGAACAAGGTAGGTAAATCCGTTTAGACGTACCATCTCACGTAGGTGGGGCGGGGTGATGACGAAGTGTGTGTTTAAAGGGTGGCCTTTGGTAGGATTAGATTAGGGCTTTAGAGTGGTTAGGATTAGGATAGGGCTTTAGAGTGGTTAGGATTAGGATAGATTTTTTTGAAAGGTCTGAATTAGGATAGGCTTTAGTCCTATCCGAGACGACCTCAGTATTTTTGTCAAAAATTTACCCCATGTATGAAAAATGATACAGTGGGTGTCTTGACATCGTATGCCAAATGTCATCTCCATCTGTCAAGTACTATGCAAAGTATGACATGTGTACTAAAACGTACACTATGACACATGGACTAAAATGTCAGTAGCGCCTTATTTATAACATGCTATTCTTTAATGCTACTAACTAAGTATTAAAATAAGACATTATATTTGAAGAATAAACAACTTATTAAAAAAAGTAATTAAAAATTGTTTCAGATGTTTTCATCAAGATGAGGGTAACAGTTTTTTGTACTCCAATCTGAAGGTTGAAAATGTAAAGCAATAAAAAATAAACTATTTGCTTAAATTGTTGAAATGACGTGCCGAAATACAAATAGTTCAAAACAATATTAACAGTCGTTTTTTTTTTAAACTTAGAATTGTTTTTGGTTACACCACCGCGTCGAAATGGGTTTTAGAGTGGTTAGGATTATAACAGTGTTTTTGATTCAGATTAGGATTAGGACAGTGTTTTTAAGTCAGATTAGGATTAAGACAAGTGCTAAGTTAAGGCCGTTTTAATATTAGCTTTATGTATACACTATATGTTATATGGCTCTGCTTGTAAACATTTAGAGTGAACACAGCTCACTAAAACCATGTAGGGGTGGGGAGGTAGGGAGCACGTTTACAGCTTGTTTTCTAGGCGCGTTTGCAGCTTGTTTTCTAGCGGCTCCCAGAAGAGAATTATATATACGAGCCGGCCCGCGGCATAACATACGCCGCTATTTAGTTGTTGTTTTTTCTCACTTTCAGTAATTCATAATTTGTGAATTCGAAAGTACCAACGCTGACACTGAAAATATTTCTTTAAAACACTATAAGTAGCTCGTCAAGGACCATAACCCCCCCCCCCCCCCCCCCCCACCCCTTCCTCCCTACGTTTAAAATCCTTGGCTCTGCTTGTAAACATTTAGAGCAGGGGTCTCCAAACTACGGCCCGCGGGCCGGATGCGGCCCGTGAAGTCCTCTCATCCGGCCCGCGGAGAATTTTTTTTCCAAGGAAAAATCGTTTTTTGGTGATGGCTGAAGAACTTTGTGCAGAAAAAATCAAAGACATGCCCGGAAGTAACTGGCCCCCGAACTGAAATTTGATAGTTAATGCGGCCCTCGGAGTGAAAAGTTTAGAGACCCCTGATTTAGAGTGAACACAGCTCACTAACACCTTGTAGGGGTGGGGAGGTAGGGAGCGTTTTACAGCTTGTTTTCTAGCGGCTCCCAGAAAGAATTATATATATAGATAGATATTATCTGTTCAGTATAAAATCTACTTAAGAGAAAAAGAATAACGAGATCAAGACTAAAATATATTATAATACAACGGCCAAAGTTTAAACATTGAACCTTTATAGGTAAATAAAGCGTATGTTAATTTTAATATTGTTATTATATTTATGAGTTTGTTGTTATTAAATTTTGTTTTTAATATCAGTTTGAAAACATTATATCGTTCTAAATGCTGATGTAAATTGATCTATTTAAAAGAAAAGAAAGTAGTTTAGACTAAGTTAATGAATTTTTGTTTGAAGTCTTCCTTTTGAGTTTAGTTATCTCCCCTAGTCAACAAATCACAACTTACGCATATGACCATCATCACGTACTAAGAACAAGGCAGGTAAAACCGTTTAGACGTACCATCTCACGCAGGTGGGGCGGGAGGGGGGGGGGATTAAGTGTGGGTTTAAAGCAGGGGTCTCCAAACTTTTCAGCCCGAGGGCCGCATTAACCATCAAATATAAGTTCGGGGGCCAGAGTTTCTTCCAGGCATCTCATTGGGGTGGCATTTTTTCCTCAGCCACCTACAACAAACATTTTTTTCCGTGGACTAAAAGATCTCCAAGGGCCGGATGAGATTACCTCGCGGGCCGCATCCGGCCCGCGGGCCGTAGTTTGGAGACCCCTGGTTTAAAGTGTGGCCTTTGGTAGGATTAGATTAGGGCTTTAGAGTGTTTAGCAGAGGCGTAGCGACCCTTCCCGGCGCCCGGGGACATACTTCCAATTTGGCGCCCCCTCGAGAGCAAATTTTCGATTTGCACCCCCCCCCCCTCGAACTTTTCATTTGCACCCCCCCTCAAACTTTCGATTTGCACCCCCCCCTCGAACTTTTCATTTGCACCCCCCCCCCCTCAAACTTTCAATTTGGCGCCCCCCTAAGGTCGGCGCCCGGGGACATATGTCCCCCCCCCGCCCCCCCCCTCGCTACGCTACTGGTGTTTAGGATTAGGATAGGGCTTTAGAGTGTTTAGGATTAGGATAGGGCTTTAGAGTAGTTAGAATTAAAGTAGGGCTTTAGAGTAGTTAGGATTAGGATGGGAATTTAGAGTGGTTAGGATTAGGATAGGGCTTTAGAGTGTTTAGGATTAGGATAGGGCTTTAGAGTAGTTAGAATTAAAGTAGGGCTTTAGAGTAGTTAGGATTAGGATGGGAATTTAGAGTGGTTAGGATTAGAATAGGGCTTTAGAGTGGTTAAAATAAGGATAGGGCTTTAGATTGGTTAGAATAAGGATAGGACTTTAGTGTGGCCAGGATTAGGATAGGCTTTAGTCCTTTCCGAGACGACCTCAGTACTTTTGTCAAAAATTTACCCCATGTATAAAAATGATGCAGTGGGTGTCTTGACATCGTATACCAAATGTCATCTCCATCTGTCAAGTAGTATGCAAAGTATGACATGTGTACTCAAATGTACACTATGTCACATGGACTAAAATGTCAGTAGCGCCTTATTTATAACATGCTATTCTTTAATACTACTTACTAAGTATTAAAATAAGACATTATATTTGAAGATTAAACAACTTATTAAAAAAGTAATTAAAAATTGTTTCAAATGTTTTCATCAAGATAAGGTTAACGGTTTTTTGTACTCCAATCTAAAGGTTGAAAATGTAAAGCAATAATAAAAAAAAAAACTATTTGCTTAAATTGTTGAAATGACGTGCCAAAATACAAATAGTTCAAAACAATATTAAATGTCGTTTTTTTTTTTAAAAAATTAGAATTGTTTTTGGTTACACCACCGCGTCGAAATGGGTTTTAGAGTGGTTAGGATTATAACAGTGTTTTTTATTCAGATTAGGATTAGGACAGTGTTTTTGATTCAGATTAGGATTAGGACAGTGTTTTTGAGTCAGATTAGGATTAGGACAGTGTTTTTGATTCAGATTAGGATTAGGACAGTGTTTTTGATTCAGATTAGGATTAGGACAGTGTTTTTGATTCAGATTAGGATTAGGACAGTGTTTTTTATTCAGATTAGGATTAGGACAGTGTTTTTGAGTCAGATTAGGATTAGGACAGTGTTTTTGAGTCAGATTAGGATTAGGACAGTGTTTTTGAGTCAGATTAGGATTAGGACAGTGTTTTTGAGTCAGATTAGGATTAGGACAAGTGCCAAGTGAAGGCTGTTTTAATATTAGCTTTATGTATACACTATATGTTATAGTAGAAAAGGAATGCATGCGTCAGAGATTCATCACACGAAGCTGTATAATTTCTTTCAGAGTTTCTTCCAGGTATCTCTTCGGGGGGGGGGGGGGGGGGGCAGAGGCGTAGCGACCCTTCCCGACGTCCGGGGACATACTTTCAATTTGGCGCCCCCCTCGGGAGCAAACTTTCGATTTGCACCCCCCTCGAACTTTTCATTTGCACCCCCCCTCAAACTTTCAATTTGGCGCCCCCCCTAAGGTCGCCCCCCCCCCATGGCTACGCCTCTGGGGGGGGAGGGCGAAGCCCCCACCGAAATTTTTTTACCGCCCCCCCCCCCCCCCCGAACGAAATGAAATTT